CATCCCTTCTGCCTAGGGGGTAACATAACTCTTACATACCCTCTCTGTGGAGGGGATCAAAAACCCCAAGTAAGAAGAGCAGGTGACTTAGAAAACCACTTGTACTTTTATTCTGCCCTCAGAAGGCTGTTCTGCCAGACCCATTGTGGCACTGATGGGTGAGACCAAAGAGGCCGGGGCAAAGAAATCATATAGGTCAGTATCCCGCAAGACACCACCTCCTGCTTGGAGGCACACTCACAAAAGACTACCCCAGGCCAGAGGGAAAATCTTGGGAACAGTTCAGATGCAGACTCTGAACCCTGGGCATGTCAGCCTAAGCCCGTCTGGCACAAAGAGGTGACTGCAAGGCAGGAGAAAGCTGGGTACAGGTCTGATTCTGCAACTGGAACACATTTTAGAACATCCTTGAGGCTACAGCAACTTCTGCTACCTGTCCCAATTGCAACAGCTGACTGCAGAGCATGCTTTGGCCGTGATGCCAGGGCTGCAGGATGGTAGCACGTAAATAGCCTCCGACATTCACCAGGGACTGGGTGGACCATGCAGAGACTGGCACGCAGCTGCCAGGCAAAAGAAACAGAGAAGGACTGTGACATGACCCTACACAGGGAGGAACCATCTGAAACTTCTGACACTTTAACTCAAAGCATACCAAAACATCTATGGAAAAGGAAATATGACGGAAACTGGACAAAGTCTCTCTTGGCATCTCATCATCTCCTTCACTTCACTTCTCTCACTGGGCATTTGTCCCTCTGGATGCAATCTGGAGTAGAAATAGTAGTTTATTCAATCTTAAATACAGCTTTTGAAAACGTGCCCAAACAAAATGTTAATGCAAGTTTTGGCTTGGTCTTCACTGCTTGGTCAATGACTCTTCCCCTGCAATAGGACAAGCTGTAGCAGCTCTGTTATTCCAATCACCACAGGCACTAGTGCCTGCAGCACGTTTGAAGCACACTACCCTTCAAGACACCAGGTCCACTCCTACATCTCACAAGCAGGGAGGGAAGGATGTGCAAGCAGCCTACAGAAACAACACAATGTTGGTGTTCTTTCCCTCAGAAATGAAGACTGTGAGGAAACATGGGAACAGAATATCACATAGAACCTGCTCTAAGGAAAGAGTCAGCTGTTCTCCACCTCAAGACAGGAGAAGTAGTATTCAGCTTTAATGGCAGCAAGGAAGACTAGGTACAAAGCATAACTTTCTTGCAGGTAGAACAGCAAAGCACCAGAACAGACTGCATGCAAAAGTCCTTATCAGTACTGAAGCCTTTTAGATCAGGCTGGGCAAAAACTTGTCAGGAATGATGCAAGCCAAGCTGATTCTTACTTGGACAGGGAAATTGGGCTAGATGACTGTCAAGCTCTCTTCCAACCCATTTTGATCTACAGCCTTTCATGGAGGAACTGAGCGCTGGCCAGTAATCCACACATTCAGTCTGACATTGTCATCTGTGTCACCCTAGTGGAGTCATTCTGTGTCTGCCAGTTCCTCACCTGGAAAGGGGTCTCATCCCTACAAGACCACAGGCTTGGCTGAGGGTGGTGTAAGGATAAATGCATTTCTTTGACTCTCTAAGGTCCCTGAGAAACTCCCTTCCACCTGAAAATACAGGTGGTACTCATGCTTCAGGGTGCTTAAATGGAAATTACACCAGAACAAGAACGGCACTCTATCTCTGTCCTCCAACATACTGCGGATTGTCCAATACCATGGTCTAATGCAGTCTTAGGGGAGCTTCAGGCCTCCCACTAACAGCTTGAGGTACAACTCCAGTCCTGTATCACAAGCTGTGAGGTCCCCTTCCAGCTTCCCTACGTGAGCCCAGTGCCGAAGCTCTGTTTACTGGCACAGGAATAGAGGTTAAAGCCCCACTTTGCAGCTGCACCCACTGAAGCCCTCTGTTGACCTGAGCTCTTTCCCCAAGCAACTGCACCTTGCCACGGGAAGCCTGTGGCAGGACTGTTCTCCAACACAGACACAGCTAAGCTGAGACCACAGCACCATCTGCAGGGCTCTGCCAAAGACCAAGCTTCTGCCAGCTCCTCCTCAAGGAAGGCCAGCGTTACCCTAGTAGGTACTTCACACCTGGAAACTCTCCCAAACACAGACATGAGCACACACAACACCACATTCTTCGAGGTCCTGGAGGAAAACAAAGCCCCTCTCTGAAAGCATCACTTCAGGAAACAAATCACTGTTTTGATACAGTTCCAAAGACCTGGTAAGTTCTTTTTAAGAAAATCAAGTGTAGGTCAAATACTGGGTCCCATAAAACACCGACTGAAGCATCAGCCTTCTGTGGCTTCAGGGAGCAGCTATGTCCCTGCAGAGAGCTCACGTGCACAGAATACTGCTGGCATCAGCCAAGCCTCCCGTTCACAGGCAACACAGATAACACAGACACAGACCAGCGCTTTAGCAAGGGAGCTGGGAGTGCCTATGGTTCCTTAAAACCACCACCTCCAAAAACCTTTGCAGTGCTTCTGTAGCAAAATGAACCCGGGCCAATACGCGTTAAAGCACTGAAGAACATGTTGTACTGCACCAGCACAGTCCCTCAGATGCAAATCTGACAAATAAATCCAGCCTCTTGGGAGGAAGAACCATTTTTCTGCGTTCTTGTCTTTATGAGAAGGTCAGCAACACCATGTGATTTTCCGAGACATATAACCACTACGCGATGCAAGCATTTTGGTTACTGCCTTAGCTGTAAATATAGGAATTTAACACTTGTCCTACTAGATTAGACCAAGAGTCTGTCTCACAGAGAAAGCGTCCTGCTCGGACAAGTGATTGATGCTTCCGAGAAATGGCACGCTGCTTTCTGCAGCCCAGCCACCAACGCGCTCTCTCAGAGGGACATCTAACTCTAGCCTGCTGCAGGGAACCAGCCCACCCCTTGAAGAATGCAATATGACATCATTTAACGCTCTCGTAAGCCAGTAAACTATCCAGCTTTTAAAGCATCCTGCAGAACTAAGCTGCGCATGTCGCTCTGTTTCATTCATAAACACTGCTGATACCCAGACAAAATCTGTGAACTCATTTCTTTGAATTTAATTTTTAAACAAAGTCTGGCAAACTGTACTTAAAAACCCACTCTAAACCATTATTAAAAAAACCTGAACAGAATAACACCTCTTTGACTACCATTTGCATACACAGCTCTGCCAGGCAAAACTACCAGAAATCAGCTGTGCTGGAACTTTATTTCCAAACCTAGGATCAAGTGCACTTTAACTGAACTTTTTTAAGTTCTCTCCTTCCCTAGATTTCCTCTACTGCGTTTGACAGGGCAGGTACTGCAGTCTGGAGAAGGCTCATCACTTCAAGTAAAGAGTGTACTACTGGGACACACAGAGCAGCAGGGAGGATAAATGCCGCGTGGGTGGTATGATGGGGTGAAAGGTCAGTCTGTGAACAGAGCTGTAAAAGCCCAGAGGGTGGGGAAAGGATCCAACTGGAGACTTGAGCTCTGGTACATTGGAGAGCTCAGGTATCTGTGGAAAAGTAGGACCAATGTTCAACAGCTAAAGAGCAAACGAAAGAGGAGGGCGCATGAACATGGGAGAGGTAGATAGGAAGGGGACTAGATGTATCAGTGCGCCTCTGAATCTGCTGCAGCCTTCCAAACTGATGGAGTTTGATGATACATCTCCTACCGAACATTCCTGGCTACGCACTCCCAGTTCAGCCCAGACAGAGAGCCTGATAGCACCTCCCTAGTGCATACAGACTGCAAAAGGCACTGTCTGGACACTTCCATCTCTACTGAGCGCTCACCTCCAACTGCTTCCATTCAGACTGGTAGACCAGATCCTTTTATTTGCTTTCTTTCCTTCCTTCCCTGGCTAGCTATGGTCAGGAACAGAACCTGCAACTCTGGAAAGCACAGCAACGACAAGCAGCAGCTTGAATTTAATCCTGCCATTATTTACAATGTCATGATGTTGACTGTCCATTTCAGGGACTTGTCTCAGTGTTGTTTCAGGCAGCCCTACTCTGAGTCATCCTTCCCAAAGAAATAGACCTCAGCTATTCCCGTTGCTGTCAAGAGACGGGGTCCTACTCCAAGCTTAGCTTGTTGTCAAATTTTGTACAAGTCATTTCACCTCCTGTTTTTGAACTTCTCCACCTGCAAAACTGGAGTAGTGATTCTGGCCTTGTTTGTAAAGTCTTGCATTTAAATGCCCTGCATGGAAGTCAGGCATTTCTATTACTATCAGAAGCAATGTGGGGTGCCGGATGTTTATTCAGGCCTGTTAGCATGAATTTGCACAGCAATTCTTGTCAGGACACTGATCTGAAGCACTATCTTTATTACAATGTTTTGATTGTTTCTGGCAGCATCCATCAAGTGTCAGGTGCTAGAGATTCAGATGTGTAACACGGGCATTGATCCTTCAACGACACATCACTCAGTCAGACTGGGAAACAAAGGCTGCTTGGCTGTTGGAGATCCACTCCTGAGCATCAGGATCCTGGAATAGAACTGAATTTGAAACGTGCAGGTTAGTCATGTCCCATTATACCTGCAAATCCATGTGCCAATATAAGCCAGAGTTTGGACTTATCATTCAATCTGGTCACATTCTACATGAATTTATCTCAAGGCAAAAAAAAAAAAAGTTAAATTCTTTCTAGGTCAAAAAGGTGATCTGACATGCTGAGAAGTTGAATTTTTAAGGAAATATCTGTAGCTGTGAACTCTTCCATATTGGGTCCTGAGATTAATGAGTCACTTTAGCAGAGTAAACTAAAAAGTTGCATGCAGCTTCCCGAGGAAGGTAAAACATTTCTACATGTTCTGCTGAACTTCTGCATCTCTGGATGACATCTGTATCAGGTCTGCCACTGCATGGAGAGTTCAACGCACTGGAGAATGGAGTGAAGATTCCTTCTGT